GAAACACTTTCTCAGGTTTACAACCACTTGGTACAAAGAATGCTTTCAAAATGCCTGGTATAACTACTGTGTGTGGATTGAAGATGTACAGGGATTACAAATTACAGTGCTTCAAATGGTTGGTTGAAATGCTTTTTTTGACTAGTGCAGATAAGGACTTCAAAGGCTTGAAAATTTAAAAAAGTTATTTTCCTGCCAACTTTGTCTTCATTTAGCACAATTTTTCTCTCATTTAAGTGAAGCAGAAACTGGCACATTTACTTATCTGTGTGCCATTGTGGAAGAGAACATAAATCTGCACAATTGAAGAGTAATATTTTAGTTAACCGCTCACTGCAGAACCATAGGAGGAACTCTGATATGTTCTGGTGTCGTATTAAAATGTGATTTAAAAAAAAAATACATTGAGAGAGTGATCTTTCCATAGTTAAGATCACAACCAGATTCCTGTATTAGTCTTATTTTTAGCTTCCTATAACTTTGGCTAGCAAAATTTGTTTGACATGAAAATTGCCAGGTTCACTTTGAAGGCAAAGCTGAATTTTTCTACATGATTTGAAGAAATCAGTGTCACTGTTCATTTACAGGTCATTAAAATAATACCTTGATTTGAAATGTTGACTTGCCATATAATATTGAACTCAGAGGCACTTGTTCTAATACAAACTTTGAGCAGAGCAAATTAGCTCTTTAATATTTTGCCTGTTGAGACAGTTAAAAACATTTACCTTCTGCCTAGTAATTTTAAAATAAGTATTTAAAACTAGTTAGCAGACTTCTACTAAAAGTCACAGAAGGTGGTGAAACAAGGCTTCCAAGGTAGGTTGTGGAATCCCCATTAATGGAGGTTTTTAAGAACAGGTTAAGCAAACAACTGTCAGGGATTTTCTAGGTTTACTTGATCCTGCCTCAGCGCAGGGGGCTGGGCTTCATGACTTGTCAAGGTTCCTTATAGCCTACATTTCTATGATTCTATAAGATGAGTAAATCCAGGATAGTTAGCAGTGTTTCTGGTGAGGGTTGTGTGAGTGGGAGGAATAGTACCATGTAATACTACTCTGACTTGTTCACTGTGATCTGATTTGAATTAAAAAAAATTGTTATAATGATGACAAACACTTATTCTCTTCCACTTTGAGTTAACTGCTTCGTGATAAATCAGCCTTTTATGTGAATGTTTCTATTATCATGTGGGGTCTTTGCTGTGAATTCGAATATGATCAGTGCTTCTGTCTGAATGCCATCAAAAGCCCAATTAGTGTGGCAGGTTTAAAATGTACAGAATGTTTTTTTTTGTTTGTTTTGTTTAAATACTCTCCTTGGTGACTGTATTCATAGCACTGCAATCTGTGCTCCTTGAAACATAGTGCTACTTGACATTTGGGTCAACTACATTCTGTCTGAATCTTTCATCAAGGACTAATAAAAAAAGATGAGAACTTAGGCGGTCTCACGATTTTAATGTCTTCTAACCCTCTAGAGGGAGCATAGTTATTGTTTGTTAAGACTGCAATCTTTTGAGCAGTCTTTCAAGATCACTTGATTGAAAACTGTTACATGGTTAATTGCTTAACTCCTGCGCAGGAGTGTAGTCATGTATGTTTTTGGATTATTGCAGAAGTGGGGAAGTTTTTAGATCTGTAGGGATTACTGTGGTAATAGTGAAACTAACTTCAACTGATCCAACAGTTCATTTAAAAAAAGAAATCAAAGTTCCTAAATGACAACTCTCTATAAAACACTAGGACTTAAAAGCAAGGAAATAAATAATTATGAACCTCATGAATCTTAAACTGCCCACATCATAAACACATTTTTATCAAATATAAGGAAAAGCATATTTCATTGTGGCACAACGTTAACTCTGGTCAGTGGGTTTTTGTTTCATTTCAATTTCTAATTTTTCTTTCAAAGGATGCTGTTCAGTGGGAAATACTAGTAGGAAGTGCCAGTAGAGAGCCTGAGACATAATCCCTTGTATCAGAGGCCTGGTATGAAGCAGGCCCTGCTCACAGAATCTGGCAAGAACAGGGTTTATGTCTCAGGCTCTCTTCCTACTACAGTGCTATTCTGATCAGGCCAGTAATCCATCTAGTCTAGTATCCTGCTTCTGACAGTGGCCAGGACCAGATGTTTCAAAGTCCATAGTGGACAAGTTAAGGAATAGTCTATCCATAAAAGAAGCTTCTTTCTAGCTCCCATTAGTTAGTGGTTGGCATATGCTCTTCAGCATAAGTTCTTTTTTTTTTAATTGTATAAAGCTGTTTGTTTCATCTACTACAGTGGTGGGCAACCTGCAGCCCGCGGGCCACACGTGGCCCATCAGGGTAAGCCACTGGTGGGACGCTAGACTGTTTGTTTACATTTGCACAGACGCCTGCAGCTCCCAGCGGCCACAGTTCACCATTCCCACAGCTCCCATTGGCTGGGAACAGTGAACTGCGGCCACTGGGAGCTGCAGGCAGCTGTGCAAATGTAAACAAACGGTCTGGCAGCCCGCCAGTGGCTTACCCTGACGGGCCGCAGGTTGCCTACCACTGATCTAACAGCTGTGGATTTTGTCAATATTTCTATAATATAAATATTCCTTTTTGAATCTTACTGAACCCTTGGTATTACTGACACTTTGCAGCAATGAGTTCCACAGGTGCTTAATGCTCTGTTTATCTTTATATATAAAAACACTTTACTTTGTCATTTTTAATAGTTTGATCAGTTGACAGAATTTTTGTTAAACTGTTCATAATTACTGTGAGAATAATGTATATTTAATTTGATTAAAAACTACATATTCAACATTAATGCATAGCAAAATCATGAATGCACGCATGCACTCATTTTAGCTTCGTATAACTACACATCGACATATTTGATTTGAGAGCGATATAAAATCTCGTGCTTCATGGTTTAATAAAATCTTTTTGGGGGGTTAGCATGAAACTTTCATGATTATCAGATTATCTCATATCTGCCTATTGGGGAGTTTCTTGCACCTTCCTTTAAAACATCTGGTGCTTGCCAGTGCTGAAGACAGGATGCTGGACCAGATGGACCATGGGTGTGATCCAATATGACTTTTCCTATATTCCTTTGATTTTGATTTTCTTCTAAAGAGTTTGGTTTTGTCCTATATTTTAACTTTACTTATGAAAAATAGTATTATGGCAGTGTTGACTACTCTATAGTTAAAATTGAAGTTAGCTTCCCATCATAAGCTAGAATTTCAACCCCCCTCCCAAACTTTGGAAATGCATTCTTCTTTGCCTTCAAAATAAATACCAGTTAAAAATTAGTTTGGCTTGAAAATGGCCTACATTTGGTATTATCTTGAACTACTGTAAGTCAAACGCTTTAGACATATGTGGCTTTCAAATTGACACTATTCCTTTAAGTGACATTAAAGTCACGACAAAAACTCAAGCAATGAGATGCACAGTTAGGAAGATTTCTTGGGTCATCTCTTCCATTTCTCCTGTCTATGCAGGACTTTTTCCTAAGCAGAATAGTATAAAGATCACAGAAACCTAAGATAATACTTTAGACTTGCTTTAGTTCATCCTTAAATTGCTATCTTGTGGCATGTATAAATACTATTTTACAATAGGCTTCAAAAATACTTAGCCAGTTGTATTCAAAACAGGAAACGAATGACTAGAAAAATAGCTAATTATGATAGAATTGGTTTGGAAAACTACTTTATTCAATGTACTCCTCTCACGCAGAATAAAGTGTTACATATAATTAGGGGCCTACCAGATTAATGGCTATGGAAATTGTGGCATGGACCGTGAAATCTGGTGTTTGTATACTTTTTACCCTAGGGTAAAAGTATACAAAGGTACACAACGTTTCTCAAACTGGGGGCCCCAACCCAAAAGGGCATCACAAGTCTACTGTAGGGGGGTTTTGCAGTATTGCCCCCTTACTTCTGCGCTGCCTTCAGAGCTGGGCGCTTGGCCAGCAGCTGCCGTTCTCTGGGCTGTTCAGCGCTGAAGGCAGAGCAGAGAGTGGCAGCTGCTGGCTAAGTGCCTAGCTCTGAAGGCAGCACCTTTGCTAGCAGCAGTGGAGAAGTAAGGGTGGCAGTATCATACCATGCCACTTTACTTCTGCGTTGCTGCTGGTGGTGGCACTGCCTACAGAGCTGGGCACCTGACCAGCAGCCGCTACTCTCCAGCTTCCCAGCTGTGAAGGCAGCGCAGAGGTAAGAGTGGCAATGTAGCAATATACAATGGGCTTGCAACCTCTTTTTGGGTCGGGACCCCCAGTTTGAGAAGCACTGCAGAGAAATCACACATTTATTGCGGGTTGGTCACGGCATAAATAGCAAATTTCGCAGATGTATTACATGGCTATTTATGCCGTGACCAACTTGCAAAAAATGTGATTTCTCTGCGTTTTAAGTAGATCCCTTCATATGATATGGGATTGCTTATTGATTATTATGCTATTTACATTAATAGCAGTCTGAAAGCCAGTATTAAGCATTTCATCAGGGCCTTTCTACTTATGAATGTAAATGTAATGTTAGCATTGCTCAGGAAACACAAATGATTCTATTCAACCAGTAGAGTGTCTAAATTAGACTACAACTTAAACTTTGAGGTCTGAAAAATTAATTACAAAAATAATTTCTATATACTGCTTGTGCATATGTTTAACACAGCACACTGAAGATAACTAAAAAGCTGTCATTTACTGCAATATTTGTTTTAATTTTCTAATGTTTCACCACTTTTCAGAGATAGACATTGAGAAACCAATTAAATAAATCTGGGGTAGGTTTTCTTCCAGATTTTCTGTATAGAGTGGTGGGTGAAAAGCTAATTTTTCTAGGTTTGCAATGGTAGGGAGATGAAAATTGACCTTTGTCTGAAATTCTAAGAAATTTAAAATTTATTTATTTAATTTAAATTCTAAGATTTGACTAGAGAAGACAGCAAGCCTTTCTGTTTTCGGGTCAGATGAAAAACTTTTGCTTAAAGTTGTCTTTCCTTCTGCAGGGTTACACATCTTTTTGGAATGATTGTATCTCCTCTGGGTTGCGTGGCTGCATGTTAATTGAATTGGCATTGAGAGGACGTCTTCAACTGGAGGCATGTGGAATGAGGCGCAAAAGTCTATTAACAAGAAAGGTAAGAGGAAGAGGCAAACAAAATCTTATTTTTTCTGTATTGTTCTAAGCAATTGGCTAGGTGTAAATTACAATTTGAATAATGAAAAAAAATCTTTTTGTGTATTTAGATATGTTACCCAATCATGGTTAGGGCCCAAATGTGCTAAGGGCTCTACAGTATACTGATTATGCTGTCAAGTATCAGGGGGTAGCCGTGTTAGTCTGTATCTACAAAAACAACAAGGAGTCTGGTGGCACCTTAAAGACTAACAGATTTATTTGGGCATAAGCTTTCGTGGGTAAAAACCTCACTTCTTCAGATGATTATGCTGTGTGTATATGCTTCAGCACCATCACTACTCTGAAGAACTTTTAAATGGAGTTAATGAATTGATGTGCATAACTTGAAAAAATTGAAGCATCTGGGCCCCAATTTAGTAAAATACTTAAGTATGTGCCTAATGTAGCACATGATCAGTCTCACAGAAGTCAATGGGACTACTCATATACTCTGAGTTGGGCATGTGCTTATGTACCTTATTGAATCAGGGCCCTACTTAAGCTAAAAATCTGAGTCAGTCTTTAATCCATCACTTTTGCACCTGGATTTTGCAGGTTTTAAATTAAAGTAACTCTTTGTGGCGATTCCTACAATACTTAGGGATTATTAATCATAGCGGCGCTAATGGATGTTTATAAAATCAAGTTATTGAAAAATGGTTAAATGTTGCCTTTTTACCATAAAATAAATTTACTTTTGTGGGCAGACTGCCCTGTCAGCGTTATCTTTTGGTCAACTTCTTTTTTTAAAGCAGAGTTTGAAAACTTTCCAAGCCTCCTCCCAACCTCCTCTACTTCTGAAGAATTGGACCTCTGTTCAGGCAGACAGATCTAACTACTGTTAAGTCTAGTCCAGCAGTATTCAGCCTTAATTTGTTTGCACAGAATCTTTCCCCCCTTCAAAGCCTCATACAGTTTCTTTGGTTTGTCAGACATTCAAGAATGTTTCTTAAAGGCTATATTTATTCTGGATCCTCATACCAATACTGTTTTTCTTCCTAGAATTTTGTTAACTGCTTTTAATGAGCGTCTAAAAGATGTATTATGTGAAATTATATGGATATGTGCACATGTGCAATCAGGAATAAAAAACCAAATAGCCATTTTGCATTTTATTTTGTTATTCGTGTATTTAAAAAAAAATAAAAAAATAAAAGAGAACTTGGAGTTAAAAGATGTTTCAGTCTTAGGTACTTTGTTTTTCTGGTGTTTGTTGCCGTTGAAAGAATACTTCTTTAGTCTCTATAGTCCCATCTTTCCATATATGAAAGACTTAACCTAAAATGGATGAAAAGGTTATGTGGTGCTTAAGGAATAGCATAGCTAAAAGCCCTAAATGCTCATATTTAAAATGTTCATTCTTTCACATCTCATACTTACAGGGGCACTTTCAAGGTTCATTTGCTTAGAATTTGACCTACTTTTTGTTTGAAAAGCCATGCATTCTTTATTCCATCAGAGTGGAGTGTGCATGCTTTTTACTAAAACAAATGCTAAAATATCAGCAACCGCATAATAAAAAGCGCACAAGAACATCTTGAAGAAAGTAATTTATTTTGAGCTTCAAAGAGAGACTTAAATACTGTGGCAAAAATATTTAAACCATGAGGCCTATTGAAATGGAGGGGCTAGTGGATTCAGTTTATCCATCTGATTTTGAAACGTAACAGATTAAAATCTGTGAAGTTTTGAGGATCACCCAGACCAGTAAGGGATTCTGTCACTGCCTGCCTTGTAATTTTGGGTGCCTTAATGCTATGCTGCTATGGCTCACTGTTGTGACACCAGTAGCCAGCCCACAAGCCTAAAAGTTTCACCCTGGCTTCCACCAGTATAGTGACTCTTTGCAGGGTAACCCCAGCAGCCTTCCAGTCCTGAGTCTCTCCAAACACGTCTGCCCACAGTTCTGAACTACCAGACATTTGGACTTTCCCCCTCTGGTTCATCATTCCCAAAGGTGTGAAAACAGCCCCATGTCATCAGCTTACTTTGGCACATGCACTCCACACAGTTTGCACAAGAGACCTGCTTGGGGTAAAAAATAAACAAAAACATTTATTTAATAGAAAAATCACAGATTCAAAGATGAAATAGTAAGGGAAAGCAAACGCATATAAATTACACAAAATAAACATAAAGATGCAACTTTAGGCTTTACATTTCTATGTTAGATAAATTCATTTTTCTAATACCAGTTATCTATTGCCTCTGAACGGTTTCCCAGCATGCCCCCGAGTCCTAAGGGGGGATCCAGCATACACAGACACTGCCCCACCTTCAAGACTGTCCGTGAGTTCTGGATAGCCTTCTCTTCAACCTTTTCTCTTTTAAGTGTTTGCAGGTTTTTTTCCTCTGACTATGATGGTTCATGGTGGGGGGAAATTCCCTCTTAACTGTAATTGTCCATCACTTGTCTTTTCCTGGGTTGTACCATGGATCGTTACTTGTGTCTGACTTTGGGTAAACATCTGGCTGGGGAGGAGTACCTCTCTTCTTTCAGGTGTATTTGAAATTGTAGTACAGGTTGAGCATAGAATGCTATGTATATAAATGTATAGATTCACAACCACAGTCTGTATACATATCTCATAATAACCATCAAGTTCAGAACATTACAAGCTTTCATAAAAGACCTTACTCAACATATTTTTATGTACAATAACATTGTATACAAACAGTTGATTCAGTTGATTCCTCTTTGGGGTTCAGACCACCTCTTCTCCCCTGGGGGTGCCTGAAATCTGATTGTCAGCCACACAAGTTAAATATTGGTTGACTTCATTCTTCTGAAGACTTCATTGACTTCTTCTGAGCAAAAGTAATTTTCTTTATGGACATATTGAGACCCTCTAATATGTTTATAATCTTTTTCATTATAAATGTCAAAGGTCTTATCTTTCCATTCTCCTGACAAAGTTCGCATTCACTCCATGTGATGGGGGTTCAAAATGGTGTTATATTTAGGCAGGTTTTCTCAGCCCAGACCACTTCTATCCAATCAAATCCCCAGATGGTTGTCATTCTGCGTCAATGTACTTGTGGTTCCCCTGGCATCATGTGGCCACAGAACTGCTTAACCTTGCGTATCAGGAATCAAATATCTGCTGCCAGCCTCATTTCCGATATTCATGTTACTGCTCCCAAGACAGTTTGTTGAATCAGGAATTATATATGGCAACACCCTCCCTCTTGGGCCCACCAATATTTCTCATGCTGTTGCAGACAAGTAAATATAGAGCTGATAGGTCTGAGCTGAGAGTAACTGGATGTTCAAGTAGGTTTTAAGACATCCCCTTCCTACACGTGATCAACAGAGACCAATCCATAATCCACTAGTGAGAGACTTTCAAGTGACTTCCTTGGGCATTGGAGTAGGTCCGAGGAAAGCGCGCACATGTTCAGGTCAGGCAGTCCTTTGGAATTAGGAAAGGAGAATAACTGAGCAAAATAAATTATAGAAGAGTGTGCTGCTCAGTGCATGGCAGGGGGAGGTAGATTGTAGTATACACTTTAAATCAGAGGTCCCCAGACTGGCGGACATGCTCCCCTAGAGGGGCACGGAGGAATGTGGCAGGAGGTACGGCTGGGGCCCAGGCCAGCCCCCCACCCCCCTGGCTCCACTCCTGGCCACGGCCCTGGCTGCTGGCTGCAGCTGCCAGCCCTGCACCCAGGCCCCTCTCATCTGCCGGCCCCACGGCTGCTGGCCCGGGGCCCTGGCTCCCAGCCTCGGCCCATGGCCGGGGCTCTGAACCCGCCCCCAGCTGTGGCCCCAGCCTTGGCCCCGTTACCCCTGTCCGTGGCTTCTCCCACGTGGCCCTGCTCCTGGCCCTGGCTGGGGCGGCGGGGGGGGGAGGGGGCAGACGGGTACAGGGGGAGGGATGTGACCCTGAAAAGTTTGGGGACCATTTGCTTTAAATAATTATATTTACATTAAAAATTACTGATCTGTAAGTGGGGAGCATACATAACTGGTTGTTATGGAAACTGTATGCTTTATGTTCTGTCTTTAGTAATCATGGTTTGCTGTGCTCCCAAAAAGTGTGGTACTTTTTATCACAAGCCTCTTCCATTTATTCTTCTACATAATGTCCGAAAACAAAAACGATTTGAAAGCAAAATGCAACTGTCAAATGTTAAGCAAGAGCATAAAACAGACTTAAATGCTAAATTTGGAGATAAATACTGCAAAATCTAACATGCAAATTCATGGACTCTGCTAAACTTAAGGATGTCAGCAACAGAATGATAGTTATCATTATTGGCAAGTCTCATGATTTTATTGCGAGTCTTTTCATATGTTGGTGTTTCATCTAAAGCCCCACATCTTGGAGACAACTGTTTATGTAAGAATCAGCTTTCATTTAAAAAAAATAGGTTTCTTATCCCAATTGTGGAGAAAAAGTTGAAAATGTGTCCCAGCTGCACCCTGAAAGGTCAGAAACCAAAAGGCAAGTAAAAAGAACCCAATTTTGTTATAATTTAAAAAAAAAAAAAAAAAAAAATTGGGGGAGGAGGGGAAGACGACTCATAATTTTTGAATATTTAGGATTGGCAGCATTGAGTCAGACACCCATAAACAAGTGGATTACCAGACTGTGAGGTCCATACAGTGAAGAACTTGCTTAAAGAGGAGAAGTTTCATATTTAGTACCACTCAACTCCAAAGCAGCACTGCTGCATTGTGGAAAATCAGCAGTCGAACTTCCATATAACAGAAGTATGCATACTCAGCTTCAGGATATGAGACGTAACCAATAGATGGCCAACATTAGTTGGACTAGGTTCCTATCAGAGTTACAGAAAGACACATTTGGCAAGAAAGTTAGTGGCCATTACCTTTGAAAATCAGGGCCTTAATCTCTCTAGGCCTTAGTTCACCAGACTAAAATAGATTTCTCCCTTGTGGGCACTTGGTGCTATGATTGATTTCCCAAGATCATTTCCCCATTTAACAGTGTG